GGGGCTGGGGCAGGGCTGGGTTGGGAAATGGGCGGGGCCAGGACCCCGTGGAGGGTCCTCTTTTTTTATTTATTAGGTATGGTAACCCTACCCCAGTCACTAGCCTAGTTGCCTCACTTCTCTCCTCAAAGAAACAGTTTCATCTCATTTCACACAGTGCCCCAGTAATTAAAATGGAAGTGACATATTAAGGGTATTTAGGTGTTACTTTAGAGAGGAACAAAGTACCTTAGCTACAAGGACAATCTACCTAATTTAGGGCTCAATTAAAGGATAACTGGGTGAAATTCAAAGGTCTGCATTATACAGGAGGTGAGATTAGAAGAGCTAATGGTCTCTTCTAGCTTTAAACGCTATGAAGATTAAAAGTCAACCCATTTTCCATAGAAAATGAGGGGAACAAACAAAAACCCCAGGCTCTGTGAAGGCAGGTGTGAAATGGCAACCTACTCTTTATTGCATTCAAGCCTATGGGGCCAAGATTGTAAGCTTGTCAGTTCTGCAGTTTTAGTCCTGGAAGCAATGATACTAGTCAGATAAATCTTACCAGGCCCTTCTTCTGGATTCAGCAGCACCCTGAAGAGCTGCTGTAATTCTGCCTTTTTCCGCTGAGAGATCTTTCCAGCTCTATCAGCAAAGAGGTGGGACCAGCCAGCTAATGTCAATGCACAAGTAACCTTTAAAAAGAACAGGAGTACTTGTGGCACCTTACAGACTAACAAATTTATTAGAGCATAAGCTTTCGTGGGCTACAGCCCACTTCTTCGGATGCATATAGAATGGAACATATATTGAGTATATATATACATACACACATACAGAGAGCATGAACAGGTGGGAGTTGTCTTACCAACTCTGAGAGGCCAATTAAGTAAGAGGAAAAAACTTTTGAAGTGATAATCAAGCTAGCCCAGTACAGACAGTTTGATAAGAAGTGTGACAATACTTACAAGGGGAGATAGATTCAATGTTTGTAATGGCTCAGCCATTCCCAGTCCTTATTCAATCCTAAATTGATTGTATCTAGTTTGCATATCAATTCCAGCTCAGCAGTCTCTCGTTGGAGTCTGTTTCTGAAGTTTTTCTGTTGTAAAATAGCCACCCGCAGATCTGTCATTGAATGACCAGACAGGTTAAAGTGTTCTCCCACTGGTTTTTGAGTATTATGATTCCTGATGTCAGATTTGTGTCCATTAATTCTTTTGCGTAGAGACTGTCCGGTTTGGCCACTGTACATGGCAGAGGGGCATTGCTGGCACATGATGGCATATATCACATTGGTAGATGTGCAGGTGAACGAGCCCCTGATGGTATGGCTGATGTGATTTAGGTCCTATGATGATGTCACTTGAATAGTGGACAGAGTTGGCATCGGGCTTTGTTACAAGGATAGGTTCCTGGGTCAGTGGTTTTGTTCAGTGATGTGTGGTTGCTGGTGGGGATTTGCTTTTGGGTGGGGGGTTGTCTATAAGCGAGGTCATGTCTGTCTCCCAAGATCTGAGAGAGAGAGGGATCATCTTTCAGGATAGGTTCCTTTTGCGGATACAGACTAACACGGCTGCTACTCTGAAATCTGTCATTATG